TTTATTGAAGACTCTATAGGCCTTGCTACGTAAAGAGTAACCCAGAAAAATTCCTTCATCCGACTTAGCATCAAATTTGCCTAAATTGTCTTTACCATTGTTATGAATAAAACATTTGCAACCAAAGACTCGAAGATGGGAAAGGTTTGGCTTTCTCCCTTTGTATAGTTCATAGGGCGTTTTCATGAGTATCGGTCGAATGACGGCTCGGTTTAACACGTAGCTCGCGGTACTCACGGCATCCGCCCAAAAATACTTAGGGATTTTTGCCTCATTGATCATAGTTCTAGCCATCTCTTCGAGACATCTATTTTTACGTTCCACCACTCCATTTTGTTGTGGTGTACGTGGGGCTGAGAAGTTATGATCAATGCCAAGTTCGTCACACAAATCTGAAAACAGATTTCGTTCGAACTCTCCCCCATGGTCGCTTCTTATGGCTACTATGGTTGTTTCTTTTTCATTTTGAACTTTCTTTAAGAAATTTTTGAAAACGTGAAATGCCTCACTTTTATGAGTTAGAAACAAGGTCCATGTAAACCTGGAGTAGTCATCGACAATCACAAACGCAAAGTAATTGCCACCAAAACTTTTCGTTCTAGAAGGACCAAAGAGATCCATGTGCAAAAGTTGAAGCGGTCTAGACGTTGAAACAATGTTTTTAGACTTAAACGAAGCCCGAACTTGCTTTCCCTTTTGACATGCATCACATATGGTGTCTTTTTCAAACTTAAGTTTTGGGATGCCAATTACTAAGTCTTGTGAAACCAATTTGTTCAAAAGGTTCATGTTCATATGAGCTACCCTTCGGTGCCACAGCCAAGTGTCTTCCTCTTTACTCATGAGGCACTTAGCAAAGCCGGAAGGAGATTTGTCTAAGTTAACCATATAAATGTTATCGATTCTATCACCACATAGAATGACCTTATTGTCACTAAGGCATTCTATAGTGCATGATTTTGAATCGAAGGTCACACGGTTTCCCTTGTCACATAATTGACTTATGCTCAAGAGATTGTGTTTAAGACCTTTGACTAGCAAGACATTATCTATAGAGGAGTCTTCGGACTTACATACTGAACCGACGCCAATTATTTTTCCTTTGCTATTGTCTCCAAAGACTACGTTTCCTCCTTTAGCGGGTTTGATTTGTAGGAACTTGGATGCATCTCCGGTCATGTGCTTGGAACATCCGTTATCAAGATACCAAAGTACGCTTGACGCCTTCAAGCATACCTACAAATATGATTTAATAAGATTTAGGTACCCAAGTTTTTTTTGGGTCCTTGAGTGTTAGGTGCAAAGTGGTAGTGTGATTCATTTTGTGCCCAATGCCTATGCCTGGTAAAGCAAACGGGAGCTATATGTCCTACCCTATTGCAATAATGGCAAACTACGTTTGGGTTGTGCATTCTCCTAGGGTTATAGTAGTTGCTAGGGGGCCTAACCATATTCATCCTGTTTTGAGAAAACCTTGGTTTTTGAAAATTTTCCCTTCTAGGTGTTCTAGAATTATTTTGTCTATTTGAAAAATTATTTTTATGCACAAAATCATTTTGATGATTTTTCCTAGCTAGGTTGTCTAGCATGCACATTTTCATTCCTAGGTTTTTGTCTAGGTTGTCTAGTGTCCCTAGGTTGACTAGATTTTCTATTTTCCTGATTTTTAGCTTTCTTATGTTGAGCCTTAGGAGGTTTTCTAGGTGTTTGCTCAATGTTTTTATCCTTAGATTCATTTTTATCAAAGCCTATTCCTTCCTTAGAAAAATGCATAGTGTCTAGAAGTAAATTAAGATCTTTGTGTGGTGTATTGAACTTCTTAACCATACTCTCAAGTTTTGCAACCTTCTCTTTTTAAGTTTTGCAAGATTCACATTCACTTGAAGAACTTTCTGGTTTGTCGGCGCTTCTTTTACCATAAAATTTATTTTCTTGTTTCAACTTTTCATTATCTTTTTCCAGTTTTTCAAAATCATTTTCAAGGGTTGAAAGACGTTTCTTTAGTGATTTGTTGGTTTTAGAAGCGCTAACAAATTCATCATAAAGTTCTCGAAGAGCTTCTTGCATCTCTTCAAGAGTGTAAGAGTCGGAAGAAGGGGTACATACCTCTTGAACGTCGTCGGTTTGATCTTCGTGCGCCATGAGGCAGAGGTTGGCGGCTTCCTCCTCTTCTTGATCAGTTGACTCGTCACCGGAGTCGCCACCCCATGAGATATAGGCTCGTTGCTTTTTGAAGCCAGGTTTGTCCTTGCCGCTTTTGCCTTTTGGACACCTCGGCTTGATGTGGCCTATCTCGCCACAGCCATAGCACTTCGGGGGACCGTCGTGCTTTCTTCCTTTGCGCTCAAATTCCTTCTTCATAAATTTGTGGAATTTCTTGATGACGAGTCCGAACTCGTTGTCATCATCGCTTGAGTCTACTTCCACGGTTTCCTTGGTTGCTTTCAGCGCAATACCCTTCTTCTTTTGTTCATCCAAAGACGGGGTTAGAACAGTGGATTCATAAGTTTTGAGGTTACCTCTTAACCCGT